CTGCACCCCAGTGCTCGGCCCCGAGCAGCTCCCGCGGCGCTCGGCCGCCTCGTCCCTCCGTCCCCACCCGCCCCGGGCCAAGCTGGCAGCTCTCCCCTGGGGATGGGCAGGGAAATTATTAGGGGTCAGGAATATTAACGGTCCCCCCTTGCCCCCAGCTGGCTCTGTGACCTTGGCCGGGTCCCCCAGCCTCCCCGGCCCGGGAGCTGCGGTGCTGCCCCGCGTGTCACCCCACCCTTGGGCGTGGGGGCTCCGTGCGTGTCCGAGCCCTTCAGGGCTGAGCAGCATCTTCCCCAGGAGTAAGCGGGACTTGGGAGAGCCCAGCAGGGCCGAGGGGCTGGGGGGCCGGGGGACCAGGCCCCCCCGGGAAGCTGTAGCGGGCCAGAGGAGTTGGGGTGGCGGGAGATGCACCCCAAAAGCAGAGAGGAGCTTCCTGGGTGATGCCAGGGCTCTTGGGGCCAGTGAGCTCGGCATGTGCCAGCGTGTGGGGACAGTGTGTGCCTGGTCCCAGCGTGGCACACACACGTGGCACCTGTGGGGCGGCATGTGGGGGACGAGGGGCTATGGGGTGCTCCCCCACCCCGACAGCTGGGGCTGCTCCCATGGGCTGGTGACTGCTATGAGGATGCAAGCACTGCCTGCACCCCACATCCTGCACCCTGCACCCCACTCCCCACCCTGCACCAGTGTCTGCCCCCGGCAGAGGCTCCGGGCAGGCAGAGCCCCCTTGGGAAAGAGGCTTTGGCTGTTCCCTGCCGGGGCAGAGGAACGGGGTGCACGTCGGGGTGGGGATACGTTCCCATGTCCCCCAGCACTCCCTCTCCTGCCCGTCCCACGAGGATGTTTCCTCTCCTGGATGTCATTTCCCTCAGAAAAATGGAACAAACCCAACACTATTTGCAGGGTGATTCTGTGGGGTGCAGGGTCCTGGCCACCCTCGGCAGGGCTCGAGCTGAGCTCCAGCCATCGGTGCCCTCTCCACGTCTCCATCCTCCTTGTGCCATGCCAGGCTCCTCGTCTCCAGGAGTGGGACCACACCAGGTGCCCCTGGAAGTCTCAGGGTGCCCGGTCAGTGCTGGGAGCCCCGGGGATGGTGCAGGGTGCCCCGGCACAGGGTGCCCAGTATGGTGGAGCCCAGCGCCCGGTGGTGAGGGGACAAGGGGGGAAGAGGAGGAGGAGGAGGCGGCTGGTGCCAGGGCTGCGCGTGTGTTTAGCTCAGTGGCTTCCTGGCTGGCAGGCTGCTGGCGGCGGGAAATAACTGAGTGGGAGAGTGTTGGCTGCGCCGTGGGGAGACGGGGACGGGGACGCCTGCACAGCACGGGGCACCCCCACGGCACAGGGCACCCACATGGCACCAGGCACCCACCCGGTGCGGGGTACAGGGTGGCTGTGGGTTGTAGCCTCCCTCGCGGAGGTGGGGGCTGGTGTCATGGAGCCACACATGATACTACCAGGCTTGAGGCTGGGGTGAGGGGCACCAGACGTTCTCCCCAGCTGATTAAGGAGTTGCAGCCCTGGCGTCCCAGCGATACCCTGTGCTGTCCCCCACAGCTGGACCCCGAAAACACTGGATTCATCGGGGTGGAGACATTCGCCAGCCTCGTGCACAGCCATGAGCTGCCCCTGGACCCTGCCAAGCTGGACATGCTGGTGGCCCTGGCACAGGGCAACGACGAGGGGCAGGTCTGCTATCAGGAGCTGGTAGACCTGGTCAGTGCCGAGGGGCTGCGGGGATGGGGGCGAGCAGCTGGGTGCCAGCCTGGGGTGGGCACTGGGCACCTCTCTGTGCCCCTGGGGAGGGGGGCAGACAACGATGGTCCTCAGGGATTCCTCTGGCATGGGATGATGGCATGGCCTTGGGGCGACTTGTCCGGCTGGTCCCACTGCACTCTGGCATGGGGTGGTGGCAATGGGCAGGGGGGTGGCCACAAGCCCACTGGCCCAAGCTGCCCCTGCGGCCCCCGCGGGCACGGCCTCTCTCCGCAGATCAGCAGCAAGCGCTCAAGCAGCTTCAAACGTGCCATTGCCAACGGGCAGCGAGCCCTGCCCCGCGATGTGCTGCTCGATGAGACCGGCCTGGGCTTCTACAAGCGCTTCGTCCGCTATGTGGCCTACGAGATCCTGCCCTGCGAGATGGACCGGCGCTGGTACTTCTACCAGCACCGCACGTGTCCTCCCCCCGTCTTCATGGCAGCCGTCACCCTCACCCAGGTATGGGGCACGGGCATGTGGCTGGCTGGTGCCCAGGCTGGTCCTGGTGCCCTTGGGGGGCTCAGACCTGGGGTGGGATGGGTCACCCTGGTTGTGATGTCCTGGTGCCTACAGGGGGGCTCAGATCAGGGGTGAAGGGATGAGTGACTCTGGTTGTGACATGCCAATGGCCATGGAGGAGGGCAGAGGGATGGGTGACCCCAGCTGTGACGTCCTGGTGGCCATGAGGGCTCAGACCTGGGGCAGAGGGGCGGGTGACCCTGTCCCAGGACAGAGGGATGGGGGGGCGCTCAGCAGTGATGGGGGTGACAACCGTGGGGTTTGGTGCAGATCATCGTGTTCCTCTGCTACGGGGCCCGGCTGAACAAGTGGGTGCTGCAGACCTACCACCCCGAGTACATGAAGAGCCCCCTCGTCTACCACCCCGGGCACCGGGCACGCGCCTGGCGCTTCCTCACCTACATGTTCATGCACGTGGGGTATGTCTCTGCTGGGGGGGGGTGAACACCAAGGTGGGGGACACACACCAGGGGCTGCATGGCCTGAGTGTCCCCTCCTGTGCCTGGGCAGGCTGGAGCAGTTGGGGTTCAACGCTCTCCTGCAGCTGATGATTGGGGTGCCCCTGGAGATGGTGCACGGCATCCTGCGCATCAGTTTCCTCTACCTGGCCGGCGTCCTGGCAGGTGGGTGCGTGTGCAGTGGAGGGGGGCATATCCCCCTCAGTCCCCGTCACCAGCCCCAGGGAGGGCACGGGGAGATGCACCCCGAGTTCGATGGGGATGCGGGGTTATGCTTGCTGCCTGGTCTTGACCACTGGGTACCATCCTGTGCTGCCAGCACTGCTTGCCCCAGGGGGCTGGGGGGGCAATGCAGCCTATAATTAATTAATGTGGACTGTAATTAATTAATTAATGCTATGAGGGGCAAGGCCCCATGCTGAGACCTGCCCATGCCTGCAGGCTCCCTCACCGTCTCCATCACGGACATGCGGGCCCCCCTGGTCGGGGGATCAGGGGGTGTCTACGCTCTCTGCTCGGCCCACCTTGCCAACGTCGTCATGGTCAGCACCCCCGGCATCGGGGGGGGCACG